GGTTCGGGAAGACTTATAATTTAGAAGGTAAACACAAATGTTACTTGAAATATAGATTGGGTGTTTATTATGTTAACGGTACTGCATGCTGTATACAGTTCTGTTTTGTGAGTACAGACAGCGAGATGTTGCGTAGGTAAGTTGCAATCGTTAAATAATGTCTCGTCTAGAGTGTTTTAAAAAAAATCCTTTATATTAAGTTCACTTGCTTGCGCGCTTACGACCGTGCAAATCTTTTGGTCGTTTTTTAACCCACTTCCCGTGATCCAATCGAGCTGACATTTTGCACACAGACTCGTTGTGCGTGACAATTTATTTTCGTGAAAATTTTTTTCCAGGATTTTTTTTTTCATATTTAATTTAAAATACCAATGTGATAAAAATGAAACTCTTACTCAAGAAAAACAAAAATGAATAATGAAATAAAACCGATGCCACGCATATAAAGGATTTATAGTGAAAAACTTTGTTTTTACGGGTTATTTTTTTACCATATAATATCAACTCACACACACACGTACATAGATCTCACCAGCAGGAAACAAGCCTCAAATTCGACTAACATAATACAATGACTCATAATAAACCACACAAACATACAAAGGCACCGTTCATCCTAAGCGATGTAATGCGGTCAGATATTCAATCAGCACTGCAAGACAGCACAGACGTTGGGACCAGAGTAAAATTCATCCAATGTTGCTACACTGCCCTCTGCTGACCAATTAGCGCCGCTAGAATCATGAAATCGATCATTCACAACCATTACAATCAATCAGCATAATCGATACGCAATACCGATTGAGAAACCACTTTATCTGCAAGGCGGTGGTGGTGTAGGAGCGATGGATGCCCCCGTGGTGAGATGTTAACTACCTCGCCTGGTACCCAGGATGGTCGTGGGTTCGATCCCGACCCTAACGCCTGCTGCTGTATATTTGGAGTTTGCGTGTCGGTGTCTCTCTCTCATCATCATCATCATCACGGTGGCTATGAGATGTTAACTACCTCGCCTGGTACCCAGGAGGTCATGGGTTCGATCCCGACCCTGACGCCTGCTGCTGTATATTTGGAGTTTGCGTGTCGGTGTCTCTCTCTCATAATCATCATCACGGTGGCTATGAGATGTTAACTACCTCGGCTTGTATACAGGAGGTCGTGGGTTCGATCCCGACCCTGACGCCTACTGTCTGGAGTTTGCGTGTCTGTCTCCCCGTGGTCTCGTGGATTTTTCTCCGGGTCCTCCAGTTTTTCCCTCCACATTATTTCACAATTATACCTTACTATGACGGGGTCTATATTACTTGCAAACACAACTGCGAACTTAGGTCCTCACTTATGAGAATTACCGTTTTAAAACAATGGACTGGTATTCTCAGTAATTGGAGTTCCATGCAGTGAAACTTTGCGAACACGCGATGGCGCTATAGGCACATTTGTTTACAATTTTATATTTTATTTGACCAGGTAAGGCACACACAAAGCTATATAGTAGCTCTTTTATCAGAAGCGACCCGGCCACAAATGATAACTCAACGAAGTGTCTTATCATCACGTGGAAATTTATAGCGGCCAAATACTCGAAACGCGTGACGTTGATTCTAAACGTGGATGTTAAAACCGGAGTACCCAGAGAAAAAAAAATCCACCATCACAGAGAGCAGGCGTCATGGTCAGGATCGAACCCACGACCTCCTGTATACCAGGCGGATTTCTAATTCCCGCTTTTGTTTTCTTGAAGAATCATTGGCAACACATAATATCCGATTCTTTGCAAATGCTCACAGTAATCAGCCATTATATATCGGCTGCCCAGATGAAGCCCCCCCCCTTAAGGCGTCCAAAACTCAGGGTCTTAAGGTGCAACAATTCATCCAACATAAGCTAATAATTGAATTGCTCCACCTCTGCTGTGGGCATCCTCTCAGATGCATTCCCTCCTTTGACTGCCACTGTCGTTATGTATGTACTGTACGTTCAACTTCTCTCGCACCGTACGTAGCCAAAAATAGCAGTTCTAAAGAAATGAGTTTTCAATCTGGATTTTAAAGTGCATAGCTTCAGTGGCATCCTAATATCGGAGGGAAGAGCGTTCCAGACGGCCGCAGAAGCGCATCGGAGGATGACCGGATGGTTGAACTCAAACACCGGCCTTCATCCCTTTTAATAATAATTTAATAAAAGCATTTTTTTATATATATAGTGACGCGTTCTACCCAAACTTTATCTTCTTAACAGTTAACACGATGGCTCTAACGTACGTTCTCTAATCCACGTGCTCCTCTGTCTGTCTTTAAGTGGAATTGCATTCGCTCAATCGTGCACATCGCTTCATGTTTCTGCAGAAGGCAGCGTCCTCGCGGATGGCTTCTCTGTTTTGGCTGTCATTTCATCACTTGTCTTGGCCATCTGCCACCTTTCTCGTACATGATTCTCTTGGTTAGAATGTCTCTCTCAGCATAATTACGGTTTACATTTACTTTGTTGATATTTTGTGGGCCATTAATTCAATCTAGCAGCATGCACTGGTATACTGCTTGATTTCACGATTTGTATTCCGCTTTCTGTTACAGTCTCAATGTAGTCTGTGTTTGTAAATTGTATTTACATTTCCCCAAAATAGTTATGATAATTTCCATATATTTGGCTTCGGGTAAGAGCTTACGTAGCCACAACAGCCTCCACTGAATGAAATGCTCTTGGTTCTTTCGGTAAAGTCACGTAGAAGGGAAATAATAAAATAATATAAATATTAAACACACCTGATGATGATTGCTTGTGTTGCAGTCGAAACGTCGTGATAATTTTTATTGTTTTATATTTTTATTATTGTATTATTTCCCTTGTACGTGACTTTACCGAAATAATCAATAATATGAATCCCTGCAGTCACGAAAGCTTTAAATCAAAATTTGAATCAAATGCATTTTATGAATTAAAATCAGGCGGAATTTGTGATTTATACTTGCCTGTCTATTTCCATTAAAGATCCAGTCGGATTTTTCCAATTGCCATGGAAAGCCATGCAACTGAAGTACATAATACAGCACAAGGGGACAGCATGAATTGGTTCACCGAATCCCAGCGCCGAGAGCGATGTTGTGACTTGACATGATTTGAGGACACACTTCAAGCATCGATTCTTATTTTGCACGTACAGTTGCTTCTGGCTGCAAGTGATGTTGAGAGTATCCAATGCACACGTCATCATCGTAAGTCATGATCTATCCACTGTTTAATTTGGCCATGTCCAAGTGATTGCCATTTGTTTTTCTGGCCACATTGACAAAGAGTGACCCAGGTAGGTGATCCAGGTCACCCTTCCCAATGGGACTATCTTGGTCTCTTGAGTTCTCACCTCAGAATCAGAATATATATTTATACTGATTTAATCCGATTAGCTATAATGCACTTTTTTTTACAGACGTCCATTTCAGTAGGGGCAGGTCAGAAATTGACAACAGAAAAAACAATACATCTACTGGACATCCGTGAAAAAGAGTTTTAAAGCTCATCGGAATCCTCCAGTATAAAACACATTCCTGTGGAGGGAGCTGGTAAGAACGTTGGGTTGCTCGGTCAATGGCCAGGGTCAACGGCGGCGTGGTGTATTCCGCAAATATGGCCGACTGTGAGGGCGGACACAAGCCGGCGTGAGTAGGTTAAACGTTGAGTTTTATAAGGGCACCACCCAGCCCCACCCCTCCCACCCCCCACCTAGCCCCACCCTTCCCACCCTCCCCTCCCCACCTAGCCCCACCCAGCCCCACCCTTCCCACCCAGCCCCTCCCCACCCAGCCCCTCCCCACCCAGCCCTTCCCTCCCCACCCAGCCCCTCCCCTCCCCACCCAGCCCCTCCCCACCCAGCCCCTCCCCACCCTCTCCACCCCTCCCATTTTTGGATGCACGACGGACGGACGGACACAATAATCCCCTGTGGGCTGGTGGAACCAGGTGGTTCCTACCAGTTAAAATATCCTGCTTCAACCAAATAACCTAGACGACCGCTCCATCCACTAGAGGCCGCTGCATTCCCCGCAAGCTAAAACATTTAACATTCGATGCTCGAACCTTGAACCTCTTACAATGCATTGCCCCGCGAGCGAACAAATTGTTCGATCCGAACACTTGAGTGAATTTTAACAATGCCACGTTATTGATGTTTCTCTGGGCACCCCACCCCACCCCACCCCCCACGTGCGTCGAGACGTCACGCCGCGCGTGCGTCGTGACGCACGCGCATTGTGATGTCACGACGCACGCGCTCGCTGGCGTGGCCCAACCCCCCCAGAGCACTTGGAACGCGTGCGCTGCTGTGGGGGGTCGTGGTGGTGGTGGTGGTCGTGGGGGTGGTGGTGGTCGTGGGGGTGGTGGTGGTGGTGGTCGCTTTGGGTGGTTAAGTAGAGCGCAGTCAGATGCGCTTCTACATTTCCACGCGCTGCGCGCTTTTCCGTTGATCTCTTCTCGACCGACCCTCGCTTTATCTTCGCGAATTGGCGATCACGGAGCGACGCACAATCCCCCCCACCCCTCCCCTGCCCTGCCCCCCCCGGGTAAGTCGGAGTGTACAGCCACGATCGAGACGTTGTCTTCGGGAACGATCTGTGGGGTGCCGTGTGGCTCGTGTCTGCGTGTGTGTGCGTGCGTGTGGGGAGCGGTGGTGCAGCGGTTAGCGCTACGCTGCGCTACGAACCTGGCGACCCGGGTTCGATTCCCGCTCACGGCCAACACCGGTGTTATCTGAAACCGGTCATGGGCCTCCCCTAGGTCGGCTCAGCCTCAAATTAGTACCCGGTGCGATGTGTAAACATCGCCGTTAGGGAGACAAAGGCGGCCGGGCGTGGTGCTTGGCCACCCACCTCCATTCGTGTGCCGTGCCGGCCTTCGTAGGTGCTCGCCAACAGCACTTGCCCCTACAGTCTGTTAAGGCTACACGGGTGATCTTTGTCTTTTGTGTAACATGCGCGGGGGGGGGGGGGGGGGGACCGGAGCGGTGGCGGTGCGGTTAGCGCACTGCGCCACAGAAGCGGGCGGGTGACGGTTCGATTCGTGGTCACGGCTGCTGCTGCCGCCGCCGTCATCGTCAATCGGTATGGCGCGATCGATGTAATCCGAACCGCTTTGTTGTTTAATTATTATTATTGTTTATTTCTGGGACGTGTCGCAGCGCTGGGGAGACAAAGGCGGCGTCAATAGGTGCTCGCTAACATCACCTGCCCCCCACCGCCCCCCACCACCACGCTCTGTGTTTGTGTCGTGTGCGCTACGAACCCATCACCCGGGTTTTCGATCACCGCACAACACCGGTGACGATGATCAGAAACCCCCACCACCCCTAGGTCGACTCGGCCTCAAATGAGTACTTGGTGCGGTGCGTAAAAACATCGTCACGGTGAAGACAAAGGCGGCCGGGCGTGGTGCTGCTTTCTCGCTGACAGCACCTGCCCCCCATAGTCTGTGACAGGCTACACGGAGGGTGGTGATGGTGGTGGTGGTGGGGGGCTCTGTCTTTGTTGTTGTTACACTGCCACAGCGGATGGGTGGTCGTTATGTACACACGGTGATGGTGGTGGTCGTGGTGGTGGTCGTGGGGGCATTTAAATTGCTAACGTCTTGGGCCATGATCAATACACCGCTGGACGAAGGCCTTTGCAAAACAACCTCAATAAAACCGCAATAAAACTAAACAAAATAAGGACAATTTGCTTTAACAACGACGGTATTAATTCGAGTAATCGCTCCTTCTCCGCCTCGGATGTCCCCGCTGTCTTGTCTGGCTGGGACCATTTAAATTGTCACGATTTTATTGTTACGATGACTTTGTAATCATCTCCCTTCGTCGCTTTTTTGAAATAAACTCTGATATCATGGCTCAATTGAATGCACGCGTGACCTCTTGGCTTGTTACATGTTTTTTTTAAACAAGATAAGAGGTCACCTTTGATAAGGTGCCGTTTGTTCCTGGCCGTTTAACGTTTTGGGCCTAACGGGGGGGCTGTGTGCTTAGCAATCGTGTTATTGGTAAATCGTTACCACTGTATTATTGTTATTTCTAACAATAACTATTGTTATTTCTACTCCGACATTGTTACAATGTTACGTAACATACCATCCGTTGCTGGCTTCGGCATGATCATCTGTTCACGGATACTACTTCTACAGCTGTGTGTATGTTATATAGATTAAACATTGCCAATGATACAACATGATCGATAGTTTATCTCGAAGCTAAGCGAACGTTGTATTCTTTGGGTCTTGTCGGTAAAGTCACTGTAGATGGTTCAAAGAGAATAACAAAAAACTACGACGTTTCTTTGACTTTACCGACAAACCCAAAGAGTTCGCCTGCAGTCACGAAAGATTTGAGTCGAGATGCAGCCTGCACCGTGTTTGTGTGTGGTGCTTGATAACAGCACTTGACCCAAACAGTCTGTTAAGGCTATACGGGGGATCTTTGTCTTTTGTGCGGGTTTGGACATCGTGCATAACAGGTAGTATAGGCTGCTGCTGCTGGTGCTGTACTCGGGGGTTGTTGCTTTAGTGGTGACGTGGGCAGCAAGAGCGACTTGCACTGAGCGAACGTTGTTGTCATGTTGTACTGTACTCCTATGCTTCCCACGTAATAGACTGGCGTTGTTGCCTTTCACCAACCATTCGCAATGGTGTGGAGGGTGGAGGCCACTCCTCATCCAAAAGTGGCCGTACATGAAGAGACCGTTTTCTGTTGGTTGGGGTCCTTCTTTAAGACGATGAACTTGGAACAGCCCTGGTAAGGGTAGCAATCCTACACTTTCCATGGGACGAAGAGTGGTGGAGGCGGGGGGGTGATGTCTTGGCAACACAGCAGTTGTAACAAGTCTACTAAGCATCGTGTTGTGGTGTCAGGAGATTCGACGGATTTAGATAATACAAGCCAACAAGGCCAATGCGAACATGCAAATCCCGTTTGTGTTAGCCTCTCTGGCTAAGTCACATGGGCTGTGCCCGGTCTCGTCATATTTAAGAAGCCAAGCAGGCTTGAGCCTGGATATAAGTGCTTGAATGCCTGATGAAGGTTCATGCCAGGTTTGTTATAGGACTGCTGCGAAGGCTACTTTGAAGCAAACCTTTGTATGGGCAAGTGCAGCAACACTTTCAGCGAAAATATTTGCTGAAAGTGTTCTACTTTCCCCCCGCACCTCCGATTAGCACGGTTGGTGACGTATGGTGCGAAAGAAGTTCAACATACATACAATGCTTTCACATCTGTTGGCTCTCCCACCGCCGCACAAATTGCCGATGACCAGCTGGACAAAGTATGATCAGATATTCTAGATTTGAAGCTTTCAAAACCAAAGAGTATGATCAAATATTTTTGTGACCCGTCCCTTGTTTAAGGTGGACCTCATCGTCCGTGTATCCACCTTTGGTGGAGCGGTGGCACAGTGGTTAGCGTGCTGCCATTTGCAGGCCTGTCGCCTTAGTTGTATTTCCAGCCACGGCAAACAACAAAAGGGAATGGTGTCTGAACTCAACCCACCCCCTGCACCAAACATGTGCGTGCTGACCAGCGTGGTGAAGTATGGTCAAAACAACCCCCATAACCTAAAGGGCTAGGGGGGGACTTCATCCAGCACTGGGTTGACAACGTACTGTCAATTATTGTTTTATAGCAATACCTGCAGTATACTTTGTTAGTGTAGAGTATTTGTACTCACACTCATTAAAGGCATTGGGCCAGGCATCTCAATGCAGGGCCCTTCTGAAAAACTGCAGTCTGGGAACCCAAGTGAGGCTACCCTGGATGTAGACAAAACATTTTAAGTAACGGAACACATATTTGTTCTCGTTGCGGGCTTTCCCTGTGATCTCCCGACCTTAACGTCAAGCTCAACTGGTGGCAACTTACTTGGTTCACTGATGATGACGGTGATCGTACTTGCTGCAAGCGTGTACCGCGAGACTTAAGAGTGATGTAGGTCTTCAGACTGAGCCTGCTGTTCTTATCAGTAAGACCACTAACCTCAGGGTTGTAATACTTGGGAGTAAGACGCAGGAGGGGGATTCCCAAATTGTGATTTAAGGATTTTTGTTTCAATAAGCACAACACTTGGCTGTGTCCCACGTGTCATCTTTTATGTCCCTTACGGAACACTGAAAGAATTCACATTGGTCATCCACAATTGCCTGTTATGTATGACCGTGCATAATCAACACTAATTCCTGCTGACTGGCACAGTGCCGCTGCGGTCTTGTGTGCGCCTACATTCTCAAATCTTAAGTTGCAGTTTCTATTTTTGATAACGGGCGAAAACGAGCACTGGCAAGCGGGGGGCTGTCCTAAAACGACTGGGTTCAGACAGGATGTGTTTGCTCCTCTCAATGTCTTGGCAAGCCGTCGCCTTTCACATGATATGATGGCATCAGCATACTTGTCAACCCATACGGTTTGCCCGAATTCTTGTACAGGGAAGTTGAGTTGTTTTCAGGTCTACACGGCGTACAGCCGTTTCAATACGTGCAAAACATGTGTTGTGTCTATTTGTTTGCGTTTCTCCCTTGTGATTGGACTTTGTAAGGATGAACGTTGAGATTTATAAGGGGCACGGGGTAACCAATACGTTCTGAATTGGGCTGTAACAAGGTAGGCCACTGATAAGGGGTTGACAGGTATGCATCAGTGTTTGCCAGCCGTACTGAAGTTCAGCGCAGCTGGCTGTGTGCGCTGCGCTGTGCAATTGCTAGCAGCACACAATTGTTTCAAACGAAACACAGAAAGCGCGGACCAAAAAAAGCACCCGGCCTTTGTGTGCATCGTGCAAAGCAAAAACAATTCCCATCAGCAGTTCCTGAAGAACGACATTGTTGGGCCCTCTTGTCGACGGTCATCGTGAATTTAGACTTTAAAGCTTTCGTGACTGCAGGGATTCATCTTATTGGTTCTTTCGGTAAAGTCACGTAGAATGGAAATAATACAATTATAAAAATAAAACATAATAAAATTATTCTCACGACGTTTCGGCCACAATGCAAGCAGCCGTCCTCAGGTGGAGAACAGGTCTGTCGAGAAGACAGACTCTGACGCTTGCGTTGTGGCCGAAACATCGTGAGAATGATTTTATTATGTTTTATTTTTATTATTTTATTATTTCCATTCTACGTGACTTTACCGAAAGAACCAAGAAGATGAATCCCTGCAGTCACGAAAGCTTTAAATCGTAATTTAAGTATTTTATTATGCCTTAATTTTTATTATTTTATTATTTCCATTCTACGTGACTTTACCGAAAGAACCAATGAAGGTCATCGTGAAACAAAATTTGAGCACAGTGCGACCGACTGACACGCAGCAGTGACCCAGAGGTGGGACATTTGCAGCCGGAATTGTGCGTCCCATGTCCAGTCGTCGTTGCCTCGTCTTCCGAAGGTCGTTTTGCTCCCATGGAGCTGTGCCCATGTTACAAATGGCCTGGTCACCCTGCAACGTGAAACATAATAGGCACGTGCTTGCATGAGCTGGCATAACGTGAGCTCTGCTTGCCATTCAACGAGAAGATGCGTTTGACATGTACTTCACAGAACATTTAAATTTGCATTGCATAAGTTTGTTCTTCCCCAAAAGTACTGTACTATCTACTGCTGGATGAAGTCCTTGTCACACCCATGTGCGTCGTGGGGCTTATGTTGACCATACTTCACTATTCTGGTCACAGAGGTCGCAAACGGGTTTTGATTCCTTACCCGTACCCTTACCCGGCCGCACCAGGGTCACAAATGGGTACCCGTACCCGGCCGGGTACGGGTAGCCGTTCCCTACCCGTACCCGTACCCTAACCGAAATGAGTGACAAACGGTTACTCACCAGTGACTCACGGCCTACCCGTACCCGTACACGGCCGCACCAGGGTCGCAAACGGCTACCCGTACCCGTACCCGGCCGAGTACGGGTAGCCGGGTATCGGGTAGGGTACGGGTATTGGGTACCCGGTTGCGACCTCTGGCTGGTCATAGTGAAGTACGGCAGGGAGCATAGAAGTACATACAGCAGTACATCAATGCAACGCATCGTACATGGTGGTTTCCCATCCAAGCACTTTCCAGGCTCAATCCA